ATTTAATAATTTTGCAAGTGGCTCTAATAATATGAGCCACCACTGTAGTACCAGTAAAGCTCCTTGTGAAAGAGTTCGTCCAGGGCAGTACTGCCACCTTACCTATTTCTGCCGCCAAGCGGTAATGTGAGCATTACCACGTTCAGGTTTCGAAGGGTAAGGGTGCTGGTGAAATTACAAGCACATGGGTCCTTCAGATCTTTGTGATTTAAAGCTCTGAGTGGCACTACAACTGTTAGGGACAGGTCGCTTACGGTCAGGTACACGACTTTTTCGTCCCGTCACTTAGTATTATAAAAAAAAATTGCCTTTTGGTACACCAGATGTGGCAATGAATACCAAATATTTCTTTTTGTAACTAATTTGTAAATAATTGACGAACTATAATTTATCAAAGCTACTCTAATGTCTAGTGATAGCAAACAAATCAACTAGATGGCGCTTATTGCACAGATTTTTATTGATAGTGCCGGCTATTCTTTTCTTTAGCATTAGCGCCATCTACCCATACTAGCAAGCGTCAATTTACCCTCCTTAGGTCCTCTTGCGTTATTGATCCATAGTATGGAGTTACAAAACTTCTCTAATTATACTATGGTAGTGCCTTACACGATAGGGCATCGCCAGTGACTATCCCGCCTTGAATTTGGAGCTGTAGCAGTCAATGTCGATAAATGATCAATGATCAATATTCATGTATAAAAAAAAATTGCTGGGTCAGATCGTACATCTTTCCCAGTTATACAAAAAGGTCAAATGGTAGTGAGGAGGGTGGCGATTTGTCGTACGGGTTTTTGAACACCTGTGTGATATCACACTTATGTCATACATACATACAAGTTCATTGATACCTCTTTTAATTTTTTGAATATACTCCGATATGCAATAATCAATACATGATTTTTTGATTAGGCTACCATTGGCATCGATTTCCTGTCGAAGACAATGTACCTGGAGGACCGGACGGTACGGCTGCAGCTGTGGGACACAGCGGGTCAAGAAAGGTTCCGTTCTCTCATACCTTCTTACATTCGAGACTCAACTGTGGCGGTCGTTGTTTATGATATTACAAGTAAGTATCCGATAGGTTATAATAATAATACATACAATACCGAATATCGCCTTTCTCATATAAAAATATAAGCGAGAATCTAAAATAGACACCCGAGATATTAATAATAATAATAATGTGCCAGAAAACTACACTGTAGCAATGAAATTAACTCCGTACATCTATCCAGTACATCTACACCATGATCAAGTTAGAAAATTTCCTTTTTATAATGGATCTTACTCGAAACCCGCGATAGTCTAGCGCCCACAGTGCTAACCGCTACGCCAACTAGGTAGCCGCGTTTGTTGTAATCAGACGGTTGGTGAACGGTGTTATGGATAGATTAAAAACCAATACCTACTATTTTAAAATTATTAGAAATGAATCTATATCAAAAGAATCGATTCAAAGCGGACTGGTAACATTTCTATCTATAATCTCGGTACCGAGTACTAATAAAACCGTCCTTAAAAGGCATTCATCCCCTAGTTTGCCACCCTCAAAGGTGAAACATTTTCTTCAAATTAAAATGGGACAAAACAAAAAAAACATACAGACGAATTGAGAACCTCCTCCTTTTTTGAAGTCGGTTAAAAAACAACAGTCGTCTTGACAACGTCCTCCTTTTTTCAAGTCAGTTAAAAATTACGAAACTAGATCTGTCATCAAGGAAATAAATTGTTGGAAGTACTATAATAATAAAAATTAAGTCCTTGTAAATTATAAATTAAATTCGGTTAGTAATTTTTAGGAAATTCGAATATCTGACTACCCACAGAATTGTCGAAACACGATATTTCAGCTTAAATTTGTTATTGATTCGATCGATCATCGACTTAACATGAACACGCTGATAAATGAATCTAATATTCTTTTCTCGATATCTTTGAACACCTGGATAGTAATGATCAAAGTCATCTAGGGATAATACTCCGCATCCTTTTTTGGGAAACCATCTTTACTATGTAACATGTATGTTCCTTACGGCTTTGACGTTACAACAAGTATTGACGTTTGTTATCTGTCTCAGTCTGTTTTCGAAATACCCATAACAAATTTATTTTTCAATGAATTTTAACGATGTTTTTATCATTTATCACAATTTATGTTTATTCTTTGATCATAATTTTATGTGTTCTATGATAATCAGTTATGTCCATTCTTTGATCATCATTGACGTGTATTTTTGATCGTCAGCTATGTCCATCCTTTGATCATCATTTATGTCTATACTTTGATCGTCATTTAAGTATGTTCTTTAGTGCTAATGAATAGCATTTAATTTTCAGTACTTATCAAATATGTCATTGCTGTCGAAAAACTAAATTATACGCGAATTTTAAAACCATAGTAAACAAGTTTCTTTACTGGTACAGTAAATTACATTTATGAGTAATGCTAATAATATAGTATTTGTACGAGGAAAGCTGACTTATAAGTACTTACTTTCTTAACGACCTAGGTGACCTAGTCGGCTCCTCGTCCAGCGTCCATTTTATTTCTGCCGCCAAGCAATAACGTGAGCAACAAAAGACAGAAATGTATTTTTATGTTTACTGTTCTGGCTTAGGCCGGTAAAGAACTTTTTATAAATAAATATTTGTTCACAATAATGTTTACTTTAAATATCAATTGGTAAAAACAACTAGGGCTAAAAGGGTCACTCCCATATATTTTTGTCATCCAAGTACGCAGATGTATTTTTGCCATTTATTTCACAACAGTTTTAAACCTAACCTACGTCACATTTTGAATATCACCAGGAATTTTATTGTAGAAGCGTTAGGGTGCGTACAGATCTGGCGAATGTGGCGCGAACGCGCACAGCATACGCGCTGCATTCGTGCTGCATACGTGCAGTGAAATACTTGTTAGTATATGCGGCGCACAAACGGATTGCGAATAGATCGCACTACGTAATGCACGTGTGCAGCTCGCGAACCTTTCGCAAACAGGCGCATTTGCGGCACACTCGCCAGATCTGTACGCAGCCTTACACGTTGCCCTTTAAATTAATTTGTGACTTTGTGATGACGACTGTCAAGAACACCCGGCATATATTTTTGTTTCTCACATTAATATCATGTCGACTGATGTCGACCATTATTTTTCACGACTAATTGAAATTTTTTTGTGATATCAATTGACGAAACGAACAAGTCGTGCGCCTGGTGATATATGCGACACACTTTCCCATAGCAGTTGCAGCGTCACTCAGAGCTTTAATTACGAACATCTCGATACCTCCAATGAACACTACGCCAACTTAATTTTATTGGACCTGTTCTGTTTTTATATTGTTTTTTATTTCTTTATTTTTTTCTCACAAAGTTCATTGTTTATTTTTTCGAATTTTGTTTTTTGTTTCTTTTTTTTCACAAAATTTGGGGAGCATAATATTAGTAAATAAATACTTATAGCTGTTTGCGAAAATAATAGAAAAAGAGATGAAGCAATAAAGTTGGCGTAGTGTTCATTGGAAGTATCGATCTGAGGGGCATTGCAACCCTTGGCATTGCCACTGCTTTCGCCACCCAAAGACAAAGTAAACCCATTATCCTGTAGTTTCACCAGAGCCTTTTCCCTTTAAAACCGGAACGAGTAATGCTTACATCAATGCTTGGTGGCAATAACAGGTATTACTTCCCTCGACATACTCTTTCACAATGAGCTCTACTTTGGTTACCTGTCAGTAGTCCAAAAAAAAAAAATTCGAGCTTCCGATATAGATTCCGATATAATAGAATATAGATTCAACGGTGAATAAAAAAAATTGATGGAAATTGGGTATGCTATTCTTCTTAACATAAATGTACTGTGAACTAGTGTAAGTTGAGGATCGGAACTTACGGTCGCATTCCAGAACTCTGTTCAATGCTCAAGTCAGGACTTGAGTATGATTTAAAGCACTAGAAATCATACTCAAGTCCTTGCCATTAGGGTCGTATTTCTTGACTTGAGCATTGAGTAGAGTTCTGGAATACGACTCTTTGACTGTCTGTATCTACATGGATTCCCGAACTTGCTGTGTTAGATTTGTGAACTTGAGAACACGTGTACTTAACAGTAGCACTCCTTGTATTGATATAGTACAGAGCACAAAACCGTTCTCACAAAATACGTACAACGTTATATACATATATACCTTTCCTATACGAATCCGTCTGTCTTTCTAGTAAATCGAATTAGTACTTGGGTTGGTTAGGACCACAGAGCCAATATCGGGGTGTGAGCCAAATATTTACTATCTCGTGCGAGCCTGAACAAACATAGACGGTGACACGTTGTAAATTATACGGTGTCACTTTACGTTAGGGATGTTTTTAGATTGTGCAGCTGCTCAAAATGTGATAGGATAAATTAGATACAAAATTGAAGTTCAGACTCCAAGTATTTTTAGTATGACGGACTTGAAATTGATTTTTAAAGTAGCTTTCTTTATATGTGTACTAGAGCTTTCAGTTTCGCTGCATTTCTGTGTCCTGGGAAAAAATACGCGGTGCGGTCTGGAAAATTATTATATTTTTTAATTAAAAGAGTCTTAATAGCAGTAGAGCTTCTTGTGATCGAGTTCGTCCAAGGAAGTACTGCCATCTTACCTATTTCTGCCACCAAGCAATAATGTGAGCATTAATGAAGTTTTAAAAAGTACGTTTTATAGCGTATAATGTTTGCCACATATTTCTGCGTTTACTTCAAACAACTCGTTTCTCATATTGCAAAAGTGAAAGAACAGGTTATCTAAATAACTCGGCTTGATTGCCTGTAATAACGTGGATATCCGCATAGACCGTAATGTTGTTCAGATCTAGCCAGCAGAACGCGATACACTACTTTCGATATATTTTCTTAATTTAACAAAATCTACTTTACTACGACATTCAATCCAATTTATAAAAATGCAGCCGCTCGCTCGTGGGTTCGTTCACTACGAATTTGTGATCGAGTTGTTTCGAAGTCTTTTGCAGTTAAGAGTCATCAAGTTTGACACTCTGGACTTTTTATCGAAAGCGGCATAAAGTTGAACTTAAATCTTAAATGTCAAGAAAGAGAAATTAGAAAAATAAACGATACGAGAATCAAGAAGGGTGATTATTCAAATAGCCTTATTTCCTTTAGGAATACATTTGCATAAGTCTTTTGTTTATGTGTTAGGTAGGGAATGATGTTCCCTTATTGACGGATTTATAAGTACAGGAAATAAAGTATTATGGTTTAATTCACTGTTGCTATCTTAGTTCTGACAGCTTCTAAATTCGCTAGTCAGTTTTTAACAGCAATAGAACTCCTCGTGGCCTTGCCTATTTCTGCCGCAGTAATGTGAGCAATACTGCGTTCCGGTTTTGAAGGGTAAAGATGCTAGTGAAACTACAGGCATATTTTATGTCACTCAGGGTGACGGGCGCAAGGGAACTACCTCTCAGATCTTGTAATTTAAAGTTTTGAGTGGCACGGCTGTTATGGATAGGCCTGTAGCTTACCACCAAGCCCACAGCTTGTTCGTTCCGTCATTTGATATTTAAAAAAAATCGCACATTGGCTAAGAGTCATTCAGAGCTCGAGACGCATCTCAAGTCTCGTTTAGGTCTTAATCTACAACCGTAGCTTAAGTACAGAGGGTCGTTTATTAATAAGCGGAAATTTTAACAACTCTCAAATGATGCACGAACTCGAATGGTGTTTTAGTGCTTTTTGTTATGTTACTAAGTGTTATGAATGGTAAGTGGGCAATAACGAATAATGGAACATTCAAATGTTCTTTAATGGCGCCAACGTTTTGAATTGCTCTTGCGCCCATGTGGCATACTATGTTTTTCATTAAATTCGCGAAGTTGAAAAGAATAGTAGATTGTACAACAAGTGCATAAAACGCGTCATTTGACCCGAGACGAGTATATCGAGAGTGGATACTTAAGTTGAGGGTAAAATGGCTTTTATGAACGAGTTATTCACTCTGCTTTTCGCTTCGATTACGAGGAAATTAAACAGTAATATTACAAATAAACTATTATTTAATT